AGACATTAATCAGTTTTTATATAACATGGTTCTTCCCAGGATTATGTAACATAGAGATCTAGATGGCTCCGACCGTTAGCCTTTGGTAATAAACACCTGGCTGTTCCCTTAGGTGTTTCACCCGGAAGCTAAGCAAACTCCTCCAGTTAATGTCATTTTCTTATAAGTTGGAATTGGTGTTTGTGACCTCAGATGCTGGATTAAGTTATTGTTTTTAATTTTGTATGTCCCCCGAGTCACTGCTGTGAGATAAGTAGCTATACAAATTGTAAAAATAAATAAATAAAGTTGACAGTCCAGTCTTGTTAAATGTTCCTTGAGGTGTCCAATAAATACAAAAGAAAAACTTATTGAACTGGCCTGATTTTAAGATTATAACATATTTAAATTTTTAAGATTCTTAGCTACTGATTTCTTGATGTAAGATATTCCAACTCCTTATTCCAGAGTTCTTGTAAATAATAAATATCCGCCTTAGTGATGCTTTATTTTAAATATACTCTAGAATTGCATATCCTAAACTCACTTCAATATTGACAATAATTTGGGTACTTTAGATGCTGTGAATGCGTATGACCAAATTGTAGAATCAAGAGATGCTTGAATTGAATTGAATTGAATTGAATTAATTGCCATTTTGCAGTCCTAAGTAGTTCAAATTCCTCTTGCAATAACTAAAATAGTTTTAAATTTCAGTAGCTTATTGCCAGTGTAAAGTATGAATAGCCCAACTTCAAAAAAAAAAGTTTTGCCTTCAAAACTGGGATTTTCCCAAAGTGTAAGTTCATAACAGTTTGAAATGATACTTCTGTCCCAGTATTTTCCAAATATACATCACAGCATTCAGTCCAAGAAATACAATAGAACTATTGCTAAAAATGGAACCAGGTCCCTGCCATGATATCACATATTAACTTTTTAATTGTGCCTGTAGCTTTTCCCTTGAGTTGCCAGTGTCCCATAGAGAGATTTTTGTCTGCCCATCATGATTTCACATGCACGTATCTAACAAGTTGAGTTTAAGTCACAACATTGTGATATCTATTTTATCATTCTGATGAAACCACTGGATTCTACAGACACTTCTGCATTGACCATACATATTGTTTGGTCTTGTCATTCCTTTGAAACAAAGCTAATTCAAAGGCTGGAGCGCAAGCATTCTTCCAGGACCACATAGAGCTGATACTTAGTCATATGAAATGTTCACTGATGTCCCATTTTCTTTTAATAATGGTAAGTTTCTTAATACGTTACAAAAATCAATACAGTTTGAATGTACTATCTCTATTTGAATCATATATTTTAAAATTTGGAATTTATCAACATGTGAAGAATTACAGATTTACTAAACATGAGGTACAATGAAATGGATTTTTTTTTAATGTTGGAAAATGTGTACAACCACAGATTGGATCAATTTGTGTTTCCTTTCTATTTATGAACTGGCTTCCTATCAATGTAATGGAAAAATTGATCAATATTATTCTGTGTGGTCAAGGTTCAATATTACATTTAAAATTGGGTTGAATGATTTTCTCTTTACATAATACAATAAATTTTCTTAGTTCCTTTTCTCGTTTCACTTTTGGGTTTGTGTTTTTCTCTCACTCTCTTTGGACACTAAAGAACTAAAGTGGTTCGAAAAAGAAAAAAAACAGATAGGCTTACTTCTTGTCTCAGACACAATAATCAAGCAGGACAAGGGGGACTGGGATAAGGGGGAAATAGGCAGACAGACACAGCTAAGCCTGGCCCAAAATTCTGTACTACTTGTTTCTTGCCCAAGTTGCTTACTGAAAAGCCTTGATCTTCACTACTTCTTAGCCTCAGTTGTTGCAAGGATGAAAATGAACTGGTAGTTTCAGATATAAATACAGGATATAAATATTTGTATTACTATTTTTAACCAATTTTTTAAAATCTTCCCTGCCATGCAAACTAGCCAACTGGTCCTTGTATACACAAGGTTTATACACATTTGTATGTATCTGCAATAGAGACAAAATGCATCCAGATAACTCAGACAAATATAAAAATCCTGGGAACAGAGTAATTCCTGGAGATACAATTGAACTTCATCTTGCATTTCATCTGTCCCATTCATATCCCTCCATCACTTCACATTCAAAGAAACTGTGCAGCAAAACTACGCATGCATGCTTACTACTCAAAAATAATACCCAGTACAGTTATGCTTCATTGCAGATAGAGAAGCATGTATAGGTTTGCAATGTTATAATACACTTCTATAAAAATGTACTTTCAAGAAAACTAATTGTGTTCAGAAACAATTAACCTGGGTTCACACACCACATTCAACCATAATGTAATTCCTTTGGTTTGGGTTTTCTATATTGTATGAACACAGCTCTTGAAGCTTGTAAGCTTGGCTTATGGTTTAACATGTTGTGGGAACCTAGCCAATTGCTACTTTTTTAACAAATCAATTAAGTAAACCCTGGCTCTCTCAATAACAAGAACAGTTCTGCAGTTTAAATCTCTTCTTCTCCGCCACTTTTCATCTAATTTCTTCCTTCTGGTTCATGTGTAATCCTTAACTTCACAATTATCTATTGTAAACCATATTTAAAAAAAAAAAAAGCAGACTGGACTATATCAAACTATCTTCTTTTCCTCACCAACATGGACTTAATAACAGTGTTTACTTGCAACAGCAGAGAGGATTTTTTTAAAAAAATTATCCCTCTAAACTTAAAACAATCTAATTGTGGCTGCTGTTGGCTACAGAGTTTTAAGCATTATGCTCATTTAAGCCTTGTAAATGAATAGTATTTCTAATAGAATTCTTCTCATTCCTCAAGCTTATTCTATTATAGTATTTTAAGTAACCTATGTAAAAAAAAATATATCTCTAAGTCAAGTTTGACTCCTGATGACTTCATGGATACATCCATAGAAAATACAATTTCACAGTTAGAATTAACTTTTCATTTTTTTTAATTGAAAATTGTGCACACATTATCCAACATGAATACCACAAAAGTCTACACAAATTATTCAACACATTTACGAAGCTAGTGTTTAAGGTCCCTTGTAATACAGCAGTTAAGGTATTTGGACAAGGCCTAGTCCCAACTCAGCTCACTGGGTGACTTTCAGTTACAGTAGTCACTTTCTCTCAGTCCAGTCTATCTCACAGGCAGGATTAAATTAGGAGACACGCCCAGTCATTTTAAATTCTCAAAGGAAAGGTGGGGCATAAATATAGTCATTAATATACTTCCATCACACTGGTTTCAACAACTTGCTAAATCAAAATGTAGCTTGCTTGTTTACAGTTAGCCTGATGTAGACTATGATATGTAAATGATGGTTTACTGATGCTAGATATTACATGTCTTCGCTAGGAAGCAAAAAACTCACTATTTCTGGAAATACAGCTTGTTATACTCCTTTAATCTATCATAAAGTTGTAAAAGATCACCAATTATTTTCAAGACCAGAGAGAGCTCAAATGGCTAAATTCAAATGCAATAGTATGCCAATAGGGGGACGCGGTGGCGCAGCGGCTTAATGACGCTGAAAGTTGCCGGCCAGAAATG